GAGAAAGGAAACCATACAGTAATGCAGCCACTGCAAGGAGAAAGGAAACCATACAGTAATGCAGCCACTGCAAGGAGAAAGGAAAACCATACAGTAATGCAGCCACTTCAAGGAGAAAGGAAACCATACAGTCCATGCAGCCACTTCAAAGAGAAAGGAAACCATACAGTAATGCAGCTACTGCAAGGAGAAAGGAAACCATACATTAATGCAGCCACTGCAAGGAGAAAGGAAACCATACAGTAATGCAGCCACTGCAAGGAGAAAGGAAACCATACAGTAATGCAGCCACTTCAAGGAGAAAGGAAACCATACAGTACATGCAGCCACTGCAAGGAGAAAGGATACCGTACAGTACATGCGGCCACTGCAAAGAGAAAGGAAACCATACAGTAATGCAGCTACTGCAAGGAGAAAGGAAACCATACAGTCAATGCAGCCACTCCAAAGAGAAAAGAAACGGGTCAGAGAGTGTGGGGCAGAGCGCACCTGCCTCACACGCTCCTGGTGAAGAAGGGGGAACTGAACTCATGAAACAGCCCAGAGGCACGGTGTTTTCAGGCAGAATGAACAGTGAGAAAATATCTGATAACTGGATTTCAAAATATTCAAAGGAGCCAAGGGCAGGCAAGCATGCATGAGGGAGTTTCAAAAAGTTCGTGGTGAAATTCCATTTCCTGTTCATTCCATTTCCCGTGAACTTTTGGAAGCTCCCTTAGGACCCTGGCTCCGTTAAAAGTCTTCCACGTGAACATAAGACTATACTGGCAGACATTTGCGAAGAAGGAAACTTAGAGCAGGAACTAGTGTGGTTGGCAGCTACAGAGCCCGCCTGGCTTGCAGGGACTTCGGGTGTTTATAGAGCACAGTGGCTTCCTAGTGTTTTCTTGACTTGGCTCTTGCTCCTGGGGCTGTTGAGGTGAGCTTACAAATCCTGGCGACCCAGGTGTGCAGAGCAGAACTGCTCCACAGGGTTTTCAAGGTCATGACCTTGTGGAGACAAAGCCCAGCTCTGTTTGCTGAGGCTACTCTGGGTGGGTTCGAACTGCCAAACTTTCTGTGGTATAGTCAAGTGGTTAACTGTTTGGGCTAGGCAGAGACGCCAAACAGGAACCGCGGTTGACAGATTTAGTAGGAAAAACACAGTATCTTAACTGTGTCTAGAGCTGACTTGCTGTCAGACTGACCACTGACCACTCTGGATATAAATAATGATATAAATAAATGATATTCCAAAAAGTAGTCTATTATTTCATGAGTTAACACTGAAATAAGAACACTAGAAGACGTACACAAAACTAAGACATAAGAGTTTCAAAATATTAATGAAAAACTATGAAATAGTACCAGACAAAAAACAGCAATACTGACACGTAAGATATTTCTAGATTGCTTCTTTTTTTCCTTCTGGATTGCTTCTTGATTGATGTCCTCGATTGCAATATTCTTTGCTTTTATCCAAGTATCATCAGCTGTACAATTTATCCTTAACCATCTTTTTCACTGTAGGAGTAGGGTGCCACTCCTTTAGAGGCAGGCCAATTAGACAATAGTCATTGTGTTTGACAGAGTAAAAACAGTTAGTGACTTCTCTTCTCTGAATATATTATTTTCATCTTTGAAAAAAAAACAAATCTTCCCATTTCTGCCGAACTTACTTACAGCATTGTTCTGACAATATTTTTAGCTCTTTGAACACTTTCTGAGGTTGCACAATTCACTCACAATATCACGTGGGAATTTGGGACATAGCACAAAGCTGAAACTAGTGAAAGCGTGTCACCGACCCTCTGATTCTTTGTCACTTTTCTTCTTTATGTTATATATTTGCTTACTGAAGTAACAAACCCAAGGGAATAGAAATGTAATATTTCAGAACATACAGAGATGCGTTAGGCCACGTTGACTAGTATGTTGGACAGGGTCCTCTAGAGAAACAAAACCAGGACACTTATGATTTTATACACACACACACACAGACACACACACACAAGGATAGATATACCCCACACAAAGGAATATAACAGCTAAATAGTCCACACAGCAGTACAGAGGGCTTAGTTCAACTCACTTCCATGAAACAGTTAATACACTGGAAATCCTTCAAATCACGAGTCTGCAGGGTCCAAGGTCAAGGAAGCAGACAGCTGAGCCTTCCATAAAGCATTGTAGGCAGTCACCAACAGTCAGCCAGATAACAGGATCTGGTAGTCCCCAGCTCAAGCAATGTATACACCAGTAGCGTGGCGAAGCATGTCTCCAAAAAGCCTCAAGCTCTAGCAACATAGTCCACAGGTTGGGTGTCCCACAGGTAGTGTAGCTTGCAAATTGAGGCAGAGAACTAGCTAAGGCAGTTGCATACTGGTCTGACCACCAGAAAGCACGAGTGACAGAGGCAGGGCTCGCCGAGCCATTTATCTCTTTGCCCTCCAATCAAACCTTATTAATCCCTTATGTTCTTATTGGCCAGGTTGGCACAATAAACCTACATATCACAACTAGAGAAACAAATCCATGGGTACTCATATATGTGTAAGAAAGACCTTTATATCAAGGAGTAATTAGATATTTTAAAAAAACATCCCAGCACAATCAAAATCAAATCCATAAATCTGATATTAGCCTAAAAGTTCAATGCTTGTTCATAAATCTCTCTTCAGACTCATGAAACCACATATAGTAATGCAGAATGCAGGAAGATCACAGGCCAGTGGGTGAAAAGTCTCATGGATCCAATGGTAGTGGAAGCATCACAGGACTGGTACAGGTCTCCACCACATGGCTTGCTCAGGTCTCAGTGTGGCTCCACATGGCTTGTCAACAGGAAGGTGAAACAGAGAGAGTGTTTAGCCCACCTCCAGGGAGAAAGAGAGGAAGTTCCCAGAATTCTGATGAGAAACCAGGCCCACAAGGAAGAATCATCAGTCTGTGACCTAATTGACAGGCTAGACTCCACTCCTACAATTATTTATCAACTTGATATGAATTTATGTTAACTATCACAAGAGACAACGACTAGAATAAGGATTCCTGGAGGGTATGGTGCGGGAGGTCGGGTGGAGGGTAAGGGGGAGCTGATATCAAGGAATTCAAGTAGGAAGAGAATATTCTGAAATAGATTTTGGTAGCAACTGTACAATACTGCTTGATGTGATTGAAATATGGAATGGTATGCTGCTTGGATTAGCTCCTAATAAAATGGCTTGGGGGAAAATATAGTATTTCATTAAATATACAATTACTTTATTAAATGAATATATAAAGATTAGGAACCTAGTTCCATCTAATGTTTTATACCTATGGACGAAGTGAGCATTATTATGGGTGCTTAGAATACACTGTTGTGCAGATGAACAGTAGAGAAAACCCTGATTACAAGTGCCATTTTATTTAACCCCACGACACCAAAGCAAAACACTAAGAGCGTGCAACAGAACAACAAGGGGAGTAAAGCAAGGAAGTCCCAAGGGAATACCAAAAATAGACTTTGGGGCCAGGGTGTGGCACCCCATCCAATTTAACCAGAAAACACTCCTAAAGGTCAACAAACAGACCTTGAACTATTTACAGACTTTTTCTTTTTTTTGGTCATTGTTTTTTGTTGTTGTTGTTGTTGTTCTGTTTTCTTTTGTTGCTTGGTTTTACTCTGCCTTGTTTTTGTGCATGTTATTATCTCTATAGGTCTATCTAGATAAGATAGGCTGAATGAACAGTCTAGAGGAGAAAACAACAGACCGATGGTTCCGGGGGAAACACGGGAGAGGGAGAAGTGGGGGAAAGGAAGTGGTGTTAACCAACCCAGGGACAAGGGAACAACAAGTGATGCAAAATCAGTGGGAAGGAAGGTGTATGAGGCCTAGTAGGGATTGATCAAGGGTAATGTAACTGAGAGGAATTATTGAAACCCAAATGAAGGCTGAGCATGATAGTGGGACAAGAGAAAATTAAAAGGAAAGAAAGGAAAGAACTAGGAGGCAAAGGGCATTTATAAAGGTCCAAATACAGGCATGTACATA